ACACACACACACACACAGTAGGTTCTCTGTTAGGTAACTCCCAGTGATGCAGAATCAGATGCATAACCAGCTAAACAGGAAAGAGAATGAGAATCCCTTCGAGAGAAATGATTAACCGAACCAGCCTAAAAGCATAAAGCCCATCCTTGGCTAATTGCAGCGGCGACAGCCAAACCTTCCTCCCTGTTAGCCTTAATAGGCCCTGTAAATACCCACTCCCCCCAGGAAAACAGAAGGTCTGCCTTGATGGTGAAGCAGGAGCCACACAACCAGGACATTTAAATATTTTTTTAAATTATTATTTTCCTCCAGCCTTGTCCTTCACTGCAGCCCTCAGAAGTACATGGATGCACTTTGTGTCCCTTTTAACAGAGAGAAAGTCTAATGAACAACGTGAAGTTGACATTGCCGCGATCCATCAGGTCTGTTGGCTCTGAATGACAAACCTGTATGTCATTATCAACATTAATGACAGCTGTGCATCACAAATACATGCACCATTGTCAGACAGTTGTTTCAATCTGGAAGAGGTCAGCCGGGGGGGAAGGGAGACTCCGAATGGTCAAATACAGAATGAAAGATGAAGGAGGGAGTTAAAGTGGGCTGGAGGGTGGGAGGGAGGGACTCGTATTGATCCTCAATCATCCTTGAAAGCATTCTCTGCCTATGAGGACACTTTTATTGTGTCCCTTGAATGGTGGTGATGGTGGAAGGAGGTATGTGGGTAATTAGTCTTGTCCTCTTTTTGTAATTTGTGGTTTGTAAGAATTTTAATGATGCTTTTTAATGTCTGAGCCCTTTAACTACAAATTACATTTACATAACTGCCAACCATTTTCCATCTAAACAATATTTGGACTGAATTCCTACCTATGTCGCAACCATAGGTCTCCATTCATTTAATTGTTGTTTGAAAATCAACAAGAGACACACAATAGATCACAGTAGACATTTTGTTGCTTGTTTTATGTCAACGTTATTTTATCATTGCACAAAAGTTAAGTTATATTGACGACTGTTTTGAAAATTGCAACTTTATTCTAAAAACGTGCAAAACAAATCTCATATTATCCTCTCTACCATGTATGTGTTTGTTTCTCTTCCATGTTAGATAGTCCGACAACATTACTCGTCAAAGCATTGCTCATCAGCCGTAAGCTCTTGGCTGTCAGAGGGTCCTTGAACACACCAGCAGGGAAAGTTTTCAAATTGATCCAGGTTTGCAACGATAAATGGAACAGTAAAACAAGTTAATTACCTTTCTTCTGTTGTGTTAACCAGCTACTTATGTGGTTCTTCGCTTTACCAAGTTTATGCATGTGTTTCTTCTCTTACTTAATTATAAATAAGTATTAAATAAATATACTTATTTTTGACTTATTCAATACATCCAAATACTAGAGGATTGTAACTCAGTTTTTTGTGGAAAATCGCTGGAGATTAATCAGAAACCTTTGGAAAATGGTCAGCTGTAAAGTTAGAGTAAGATTTGTAGGTAATTAGTAGGGTTATATAAGTTATATTAAGGAGATAAGGAGATTTTCTAAAGATCTGGATTTGGAGCGCCAGCAATTTTCATAAATGTCTAGACTAAATTATGTCAGCATCACACAGTGAGGAAAGGATGAGGTAATAACGATGGAAGAGATGAATGCAATTAAATCTTTTTTTTATCTTGCCCTAGAAACACACGATTTAACAGTGAGAAATAAAGGAGAAAGACTGTGGCTTCAACGAACCATTCTGCTGAGACAAGTTTATGTAAATGGAGCTGTAGGCTAACGCAGCAGCATCCAAAGTCAAACAGGTCTGCAGGCAACATTGACATTTGAAAATCTTTCATACCGAAGCACTATTCACAATATGAACATCCTCTAGTGCTTTCGCTGCGCAGGGCTTACCATCACCAAGCGGCGAGGGGAACACCGGCATCTCGTAGCCAGTGGGCGTCTGCGGGGAACTCTGGGAACTGGTGTCTCTCGAACTGCAGTTGGAGGCTGAGCTCACCGGAGCCGACGAAACAAAATAGATGTCCGACTGTGGATGAAAACACAGGACGTAGAGAGGAAATAAGATCAATACAGATATATGTAACATGTAATGATACCAGAGATGACAGAGGCAGAAAAAACAATGGATTAGAAAAGGAAAAAGTATTTGTTTTATAGATGGTGCACTGTAGTCTATTTTAAATTACCTATGTGTATGAAGTATGAGTATATTATTGCGTTGTAGCCATGCAGATTGCCAGCCATATTTCCCACCAGGGTAATAAAGATTGATTGAAATGAGAGAGCTGAGACAGCTACTTCTATAACGCAGAGTGGGACCTTCTAACACTGAAAACACTCTCAAGCGATATAGTGCTAGCTGCTATAGTGAAACCAAGTGTGTTGTCGGTGCACACATAATGCATCTCTACAACCCAATTACCTTGCTTCTGACCAGTTTTGGACATAAAATATACATAAAATAAATTATTTAACCAGTTGTAGTGTACATTGTTGACGAAAGCAGGGCAAGGGCATGATATTGCTGTAAATCATACTGACCCGTGAAGCAGCCAACTGTAGCTCTGGGACCACTGCTGTGTACACAAGGTTGCCATTGACCACCAGTCGGATCTCAATGGAGTCTGTTGTGAAGGCCAGTATGTAAGGAAATGCACAGACTGCAAAGACAACATGAGCATATGATAAAACCAGCTGCAAATGATCAACAGGGGGCATCAGGAAAACAACACCCCCCCACCAACAAGAAACTGAAACACTTTTATATTCGCTCAACTGCCCAACTCCCACAGTATGAGACATTTAAAAGTGGAACCCAGAATGGCATTTTGAAATGCCATCATTAGCCAATCATGTATGCAGAAAAATGAGAATCAGGCTGAATATCTCTCCTAGAGGCTTTAGATGCTTCTTCTATTCACTCTCACGACAAGGTGAGAGCAAACTGTGGCAGAACATGGAGGACAGAGTTGACAAGTAAAACTAAATTCTGTAAAACCTACAAACAAACCATCTGACAGCAAAGAGATGGTTTAATATTACTTCTTGTTGAACAGACTGAGTAACTAACCAAGACTGAATATGGAAGTGATAGATCTCTGCATTGTTTTTTGTTATATTTGTCACATAAACCAAACCTAAACCTGCTATTACTGATTTTTTGGCCACTTGGGGGCAGTGTAACAAGCTTTAAAAACAACATTGACTTATTATCACCGTATAAGTGTTCGTATGGTGAACATAATTTGCGAATAGTTGACTATTTATACATTCAGCAGATACCGACCACATTAGCATTCATGTGGAGTTGTGTTTCTGGCCACCTGATGGATGTAAGTCCAATATTCACTCTCCTTCTCTTTTGCACTCTCTTTGGTCTCCACTAACTCTTGAGAGAAATCCAACTCTTTAGGAGCTAAATGCTCCACTATGTTCATCAGCTAGTTGCTAACCTTATCTGTCTGTTGTTTGGTGCTGGGCAGGTGTTTTTTTAAAGGAACAGCTGTCTGTTGCAGCTGGAAATGGATTGATGAGAGCAGTAACAGTGAAACAAAATAGTAAAATTACAGGCCATAAAAACTAAAACAGTGACCTGAAAGACACTAAAATGCTCTGTAGACCTGAGAGGGGAAGAGAACTACAGAGTTGGGTTATAATTCTATAAGCAACACCTTTCACATTACAAATATTTATTATATTACGTTCATTGTTAATATAGAAAATAAAGAGTTGCAACTGAGGCTCTCCAATATGTTTCAGTACATTTGTTTTATTACTCATAATAGCAATTTTGCTATTGCTTGTTTTAGTGTGTTCGGTTGAAAGAAGGGCACATTATGGGATGCACAGCAACCAAGAGCAGCAGCATGTTGTTATCAACAGGGTCAGGGTTACAGGTTTAGTACCAATTGTGTTTGCTTTTCAACGCCTCCTGTATTAATAAAAACATAGACACAATATACATGTATGCGCGCGCACACACACACACACACACACACACACACAAACTCTCTAAGCCAATTAAAGGCGAGCAGTTGTGAAGAGAATCAAAGACAGGAAACATTATTTATAACTTCAAAGCCTTTT